TACTGCTGCACCTACGGCTTCTTGGGTCCAGTGGATCTAGAACAGTACAAAGGCACCCACACGGCCCCAAAATCAAAATATATATTTTCCTTTTATTATTAATCCCTCAGCTCAGTGTTTGGGAGCTGAGAAAAATTCTCAGAAGCAGAAAGTAGTTTTGTGTAAAGATATTTACAAATTACAGAGAACTTGTTTATACAAGAGTGGTTTTGGCAACTAATCAATGCCACCTGGACAAGCTTAGCAAACATTTTAACTAAACCAGTTTTCTAACTAAACTAACCGACTCTAACAGACTGTAGAATAAGTGATCTGCTATCTACGAGGCGCATCATATTTGTCCTTGACCCTTAAAAATGAAAAATAAACATCTGCAAAAGCTGATGCTCTGCGATTCTTCTCCGGAGTTCCCTCACTCCGACAATATATATCTGCCAACGCACAGCACAGCCACAGGCATAGCCATATATGATATATCCGTACGTAGCTAGGAAGGGAGGGGCATTCTATATCTATATGATATACAACCGTGAGACGTCGAGAAGAGTAAGTGCACACTTTTGCTTTCAACTCCTTTTGTTAATCATGTTTCACTTTGGTTTTTGTTTCGACTCCCGATTAAGTTTTGTCTGCAGATTAAGTAATAATTTAGTTTTCTGTAAATCTATTTCTTTCATGAATTGCTTCAGTGAACTGACTGTATCTCTGCTTCTGCTATTTTTCCATCTAGGCTCAGATTTTGGACTGCATGATTTGATGGACTGGTTAAACGCGTGTATTTATTCTTTATCCATAAGATGCACCATCATATTTCGAATTTTAAAATGGTAACTTTGAGCTGCATGTAGCTTAAGATGATAAATTCTTTCCTTTCAAGAAACTTAGATGGACAGGCAAGGGATGTTGGGTTCAAGATGTGCTAACGTGGAACTATGATTAATGATATCACTACAAATGAATTGCAATTTCCAAAATTATGTCTTAAAAACAGCTGACAAAGATTTATGCTTTCTCAGTTGATTAGTTCTCTGGTATCGCATATGGCTGAGCTATTATTGATGTCTTCTAGAAAAATTTATATTGCTTTGAAATCTTGTCGGAATTAGTGAGTTGCCTCCAGTTTCAGTGTGCAATCTGTCTACTCTGATCCTCCTTTGAAATTTATTACTTTTTTTTGGGTTCAACTTTTACTTCTTTCTATGTATAAACCGATTTGGCAACGCGTCTGAATTAATTGCAGGAATGGGAACTGAAGTACAGTCGAAGATGTATCTACCAGGATATTATTCCGTACAGAAACTAAGTAGCAATGTTGTTGGCCATGGTAGCTGGTCCCTACTCCATGAGAACAAAAACTTGAAGAATGGGCAACAATATGAATTATTCTTGACAAGGCCGATTATGGATGGATTTCATGGACGCGATAAGGAACAAATGAGGAAAAATATACTGAAGCATGAGTCAGTATTCAGGCATCAGGTGTATATTCTAGAACCTAAATCTGTTGAGCTCTAAAGTGTGATTATGACTATAGCTTTTATTACAGAGTTAAGAAATGTCAGACAACAATGGTTTTATATTGGTAAAAAAGTGTCAAACTTTGAGTACTCAAAATTGTTTGCTAATATTTGAACACCTTTATGTGTGATTTCTCATTCAGCTCAATGAACTCCATCGTCTTTACGAAAGGCAAAAGGACTTGATGAATGAGATCAAAAGCAAAGAACTACTCAAACATCAAAAAGTAGCAGGGACATCACTATCAACTTTCAAGCCCAACCCGTTTGGTAACCGATGAGAAAATCACTTATTGTTAAAAATTGCTGTGAGAGAAAGCAATATGGGAAAACAACTAATGAGCTGCTTTCATTTTCTGATTATGCGGCAATCAGATTTGGGAAGCGCTGAGTTTTAATGAATTTTACAAACTTCCAAAAATACCCCAATCTATTTCCACACTCTCTCTTCTCTTGGTGCGTCGTCTCCTTCCCATCCTGGTTCTTCTTCACGCCATCTCTTCACAGAGATCACTCCTCTCCTTCTCTTCTACATCCTAAACCCATTCCGTCTCGTATAGGCTGGAAACAATCGAAATTCCATCCGACCATACACACAGCAACAATGGATATAAGAGAAAGCATCCGCAACCAGAACGACGTAGCTTTGGGGCTGACCAAGAAGCTACATCAGACTGAGGGCAAGGAATCGAACCTGGTCTACTCGTCGCTGTCCATCCACGTGGTGCTCAGCCTGATTGCCGCAGGGTTGAAGGGCCCCACACAAGACCAGCTGCTCTCCTTTCTCAAGTCTAAGTCCGCCGATCACCTCAACTCCTTCACGGCCGAGCTCATCTCCGTCATCTTCTCCGACGGGTCCCCCAGCGATGGGCCTCGCTTGTCATTTGCGAATGGCATTTGGGTCGATAGGCCTCTTCCTCTCAAGCCTTCTTTCAAGCAGGTGGTGGACACTGCTTACAAGGCAGCTCCCTTGCTCCTATACCTGTCGTGGGTTTGGTCACTGGCTTACAGTGAAATGAAAGTCTCCAACTTTATTATTATTATTATCATTATTTTTTGCTGCATGTGATTTGTCTGGGAATGAATGTATTAGAGAAACTGCGAAGTTACTTAGACATGTCAAAGCAGGACGCATCATAATTAGTAATTACCTTCTAAATAGACCTTTCTGATGGCCATTTCAAAGTGCGGAAAAGGGATTTCCATGTAGGAAGCAATGTGTACAGCAGATGTGAAGTGGTTGCTATGGAATGGCTAGTTCAGGAGGTCCTCAGCTTCCAGTGCTTTCTGCCCACCATCTATAACTTCTTATGGTAACTCTCATATCAGTCTCCCATTTTCTCCAAAGTACTATACTAGACAAATGCATGCTGCTTCTCTTGCATTGACAACCTGGCAAACTCAGGCAACTGATCTTCTTTCTCTGCATATCTATATTATCCTTCAACTTTTATTTTCTTTTTTTCTAGGCAAAGAAAATGTTTCTAATTTGAGAGGTTCATGACATCTTCATTCCATGAACTAATTGGATATCATTTCTTTTCTGTTTTTCTTAATCTTTTGAATATGTTGTCATTTTAAGATAGTTGATAGGTGCAAATGATGTGCTAACTTTAACAGAGCCTAGGGTGGTTGTTACATTATGTGTGACTTCTATTTGCTGACTCCCTCATCAAAAGAGATGGATGGAATGGAAGGTAGATCAATAGGGAATCCTATAAGATATGTGGTTGGAACTGTCAATTATGGGTTGCATTATTATCTTGTTCAGAATCTAAATTTGACTGGTTACAGTGACAATGACTTGGGTGGATATGTTGATGCTTGCAAAAGCACATCTAGTTATGTCTTTAGCATTGGGTCAAGTGCGATTTCATGGTCCTCCAAAAAACAATCTATAGTGGCACTTTCAACTACAGAGTCTGAGTATGTTGCTCTTGCATCATCAGGCTGTCAAGCTAGGTGGTTGAAAAGTATTTTAGAAGAGATGGGTTAAGTTCAAGATGGCCCTACAAAACTGTTCTGAGACAACAAATCAACTATATGTCTTTCCAAAAATCCAATGTTTCACAGCAAGAGTAAGCATATCAAGATCAAGTTCCACTTTATCAGAGAGCTAATCAAAGACAAAGAAATTGAGGTTCTATATTGCAAATCCCAAGACCAGCTGGCAGATTTGTTCACCAAACCATTGAAGGACTTGCTCATCAAGATGAGGAAATTAATTGGCGTAAATGAAGTCTAGCTTAAGGGGTGATGTTAAAAATAAGAGTGCTGCTATTTCCACCCCCCAGTCCTATTTCCCCACCCACCATATAAATTTGAAAAAAACACAATCCTATTTTTACACCCACCATTATTCCTAAAATACCCTTTAATTATTAATTCAAGCAAATTCTCCTTACTTCCATTCAAAGCATGCTTGAAACCTTCAACCCCTGTCAATCAAAACGCGTGGAATCCTCTGTAAAGTATTATTAAAAATAATAAAAATAAAGAAAATCGCTCTCAATGTTCATCGTCTCTCCACCGAATGAAAACAATAACGGAGAGAAATGCCAAAATTAGAAAGAAGACGAAAAGCAAACTGAGCAAATGGAACAGAAAGCTCGTGCCCTTGGGTTCAGAAACTGAGGAAAACTCTGAAGGAATTGGATTGGACCTAGTTGGAAATTTTGAAGCTTTATTGGAATTTTGATTTGGGTTTGGTTGGGACGAGAGAGAGAAGGGTGGGGTTGGGGTTTGACAAGGATGAAGGAGAATATGTCTTTTTTTATTATCTTTAAGTCCTTAAAAGTCATTTTACAAATGGATATATTTGTTTTTAAATTTTGAAGATAAGGTAGGTGGGAAAATAGGACTGGTGGGTGGAAATAGTAGCACTCAAAAATAATCTAGACTTCATTAATAGTCGGCTGGTAAAATAGTAATAGTTGGCTGGTAGTAGTTGTGGGTTAAAATAATGATGTGGTAGAAGTTAGTTGAATTAACTATGTTTGGTTTTAGTTGTTATTTTAATGTGCTATGTCGGTAGTGACTATTATATAAAGCCACAATTTTCTCTTCATTTTGTATTAAGTAAGGAACATCATCAATATCTAAAATAGTGTCCCACTACTTTCTGTCTTTTATCACAAGAGAACAAGTTTCTTCTCTTACATAGTATTACTCCCACATAACCGTACCCACCTATAAAATAATTCCTATATCTCAGCACAGAAAACTAAATTATTACTTAATCTGCAGACAAAACTTAATCGGGAGACGAAACAAAAACCAAAGTGAAACATGATTAACAAAAAGAGTTGAAAGCAAAAATGTGCACTTACTCTTCTCGACGTCTCACGGTTGTATATCATATAGATATAGAATGCCCCTCCCTTCCTAGCTACGTACGGATATATCATATATGGCTATGCCTGTGGCTGTGATGCGCGTTGGCAGATATATGTTGTCGGAGTGAGGGAACTCCGGAGAAGAATCGCCGAGCATCAGCTTTTGCAGACAAAACTTATCCCAAAACTGGACATCATCAGCTTTTTGCAGATGTTTATTTTTTATTTTAAGGACAAATATGATGCACCTCGTAGATAGCAGATCGCTTATTCTACAGTCTGTTAGAGTCAGTTAGTTTAGTTAGAAAAATGGTTTAGTTAAAATGTTTGCTAAGCTTGACCAGGTGGCATTGATTAGTTGCCAAAACCACTCTTGTATAAACACGTTCTCTGTAATTTGTAAATATCTTTACACAATTAATTAGTTTAACTACCTTCTGCTTCTGAGAATTTTTCTCAGCTCCCAAACACTGAGCTGAGGGATTAATAATAAAAGGAAAATATATATTTTGATATTGGGGCCGTGTGGGTGCTTTTGTACTGTTCTAGATCCACTGGACCCAAGAAGCAGTACGTGCAGCAATAGGAGTAGCCCATTCTGGTTTGGCCCTGGACTAAAGTAGCCCCTTCTGGTTTGGTCCCTGGACTCTTCAGTCAAGAGGAGGCCCTTCAATCTCAGGATCAGCTCCTTGAATTTGTGTGCACTTCTTTTGTCTGTTTTCGATCTGCCTGTTTTTTCAGTCACCTCCAGGCACACACTCTCTCTCTCTTCTCGTGGCAAAATTTATTTATACGTGGCAATTAAGTAGAAGAAAGGCAATTGATACAGGGAATGAAATTGTAATTTATTATCTTTACCCAAAAAAAAAATTGTAATTTATTATAAATAATAAGTAGAATAATTACATATACAGTTACTTCACTTCACTTGAGCTACAAATACAATACAACATAATCGAATCAAACAAGTATGACTTAACAAGTATTCGAACAAAAAAAAAAAAAAAAAGA